AACAACAAAGAATCGATATAAAAGCGTGAAAACTCATTATATGCACATGTATACATGTATTTTACCCTCAAGTGACCGAGTGGGGTCTTTTACGACCCCAGCCATATGATTTAATGTGCCATTTCCTTATTTTTTATTCGAATTTTCTTTCCTTGCATGAGTTTGTCAGTCTACTAATCCTACACACTTCCACAGTTTTTTGTAGGGATCAACCAATTATTGTGGTGTATACATTAAAAACTCTTGTGGGGTCATTTATGACCCCAAAGAGAAACATTAGTTTTTTAAATATTAGTTTTTAAATTTTATTCAAATTTTTTACCCACGCAACACTGACAGGAAAATGCCACATGCATGTGCTTCATGCAACCAGCCAGTGTGCCCAAAACATAGGCACAAATAAGTGGTTTGTGAAGATTGTGCTTGAAGTATCACTTATAGTGCATCGCTGAATCTAATTTCAGTAGCTTTGTTGGAACTTGTTCTCATAACTGGGTCTCTCATTTTGACGGTTACAATTTTTGGGTATTTCGGAAATCTAAAGAATTCTGTCGATATCATATATTATACATATATTAACAAATTGTTTGTGTGGATTTTGTTTCATACACAGATGTGATAGTAACATACATGTAAGTTGATTGAATGTGTTCTGAGTAGTATCACTTCCTTACCAGCATTACTACTCAGCAAGTCAGCTAATTATTCTTATTGAAGTTAGCAGGATGCTATCTCAACATGAGTCAAAATATTTTTATTCAAAGTAATTTCGTAATGTAATTTTTTTCATTTAGTGTGGCAAATAAAAAGAGAAATATTGTGGAAACTGACAAGGACTGTCTAAATACCGGTGTAATGTTCTTAAAATCTGTGCTTGGTTATTTCATGCAATAAAAGTATTATTACCAAATACTTATTACATTAGATCATTATAAAATACTTGTCTTAAATCCTGGGAGTAGTATAGGTGTGATAAACCCTCAACAGCCTTTTATAAGAAGGATCCCTGTACAGAGCACAATGGGGTCATAGATGACCCCACTTGGTCATTTCAGTCAGTAAAATAGCTTGGTCTCTTGAGGGTTAAGTCAGAGACAGTTATTTGTTTACATCTGTGATAAAAAGCCAAGCATTCGTAATTTTACACACTACCGGTATCTGCCCCGCGTTTAACTATGCATTAATTACGGTTGCAGGGGGATGGTGTCCCCTGTAACAGTTTCTGTGTTCTTTAAATGAACGCTTCCATATGTGAGGAGAATCATATAGAACAACTCTCAAGAAAGATGGGAATTACAACAACTGCATTTATTTCTGTGTGTTCCGAGCTACAATGTATATACAATGCAAATTGCTACTGTGAGGTGATATTAGGCTCACTGCTGTCAAGCTTGTTTGCATTAAATTCCGGTCTGGTATTCGGCCTTCCCTTGATAGTTGTATTTTGATATTAAGTTCCGATCTGTTCCGTTATCTCCTTTGGCTAGAAAGATCATGTTCATCTGTTCAGATCCGATTTTAAGGTTAATAAAAGTCTATTTGCTTCAAGGTTGCCAATGTTTATCCTGTTACCACATTGCGTATTGGAATGTTTTGCTTGGAGCCACAACACTTCATCTAATGGTTGAGTTTAATTGTCACAAGCAAAACACGTTGACCCAAACGCAGGACAAGCTCTCACTGGCTACGGCCATGTCTCCTTCCACAATTGTCGTAAGGATTTTCTGAGGGTAGGTGACACTTAAGGGCCACCGTACTTGCCTCTTTCTTCTGATTTGCCCCTTCGATACTGGTTGTGAACGTTGTGAACGAGTTTGGAGTTTATATCTGGCCAGTCTCAATTTACTTTTAGGCTTGACAAATTTCTCACATTTAACAAAGTGGATATCAAGTTCTTTAAATTCATCCTCCAATAAATTTCATTTTTATTGTGTAGAGGGAAGGAATGTGTACATTAAGGACACCTTCAGCTACGTGATTACTGTAAGTAATGCGTTGTGCTTAACATCGAAAAATAAAGTGTATGTTTTCCGTACTCAGCAGTGCCAAAATATATAGTTTTACAAACGCTATCATCTTAGGCCACACTTTTTTAATTTTATGGATGACATCCTGCGCGCACACCGATTTTCGTCCGTTCTCAAAAAAAAAAAAAAAAAAAAAAAAAAAATCCCCCCCCCCCCCAAGGAAGTCGGTTGTCGCAAACGTCTTTATTGAATTTACCGGAAAATGCAATCGGCAATCCTCGGCTTGTTCCGCAAGCTCCATACTGTCATTGTCAACTGCGGAGACATCCGAGTAGTTCCGAGTGCGGCAAATGAGCTTTCTGCGCATGCGTATTATCACCACGTGGAAATATGGCAGCTTTGCCGTCAAATTCATCTCTAGCATTAATTTCAAAATACACGACAATTAAAGTCATAAAGAGAAGGGGGCCGTCGTTTTGGATTGGTTTGCCATTGATATTGTCATGGAGATATCACCCTTTTACAATTATACGAAAGGCTGGCCGCGGCATTCTGTCCAAAGCAGCACATACCAGGTTTTTTTGTAGCGAAAAAAGGGTCGACAAGAGCGTCGTGGTATTTGGTGGACTGAAGGTCGGACAGGCCACCCGATAGTTAGCTGCTACGTGTGAGTCGAAGTAGACAAAATGGCATCGACCGAAATTTTTAGATTTGGTAGTAGGAAGCATAGGCCTATCTTTGCTTCATTTTTTTAAACAATTCTGTGAAGTGTTTACAATGCTTTAATTTTCTAAGAGTACAAATAAAGACACGCTATTATATTTGTTTTATTGATTGCTATACCAACAGAATGCATGAAATAACCTTAAATAGATTTGGTAATATGCAGCATATATATTCATGACTTTTTACCTTTCTACAAAGTAGGCCCTATTCACAATGCTTTAATACAGACTTGACATTTAATATGGAATATTTTTTCCAAGTAATTTTTTATCAGTTTTTTTTCCTATTTTGCTCACCGATAAATGAAAATAAGGATTAAAATCGTGTTTTAATAACTTTCAATTATCTCTTTGATGTCATTGTGACATCAATTCATTAATGGAATTCGCCTGAGAAGCAAACAAAATCACATTGTCTATTATATGTCATACGACTTCCATTAAAAGACATAATTTTGATCTCCATATTTTCCAAATTATCGTCTGTAAAAGAGTTGTACGCTCCACAAAAGACCCTCATGTCAGGTGCTAGTCACAGTAATGGTCGCTGGTACGTCTGGTCGTCTCTTCTGGCTGTTGCCAGCGCTCTCAAGCGGCAAGGCATTCCTTGGGATAGGTTTTTAGAGTTCAATCTGGAATAATATTCCAGGCATCGGTCTAAAATTGTCCAATTTGGTCCAGTTTTGTTGTAGGACATGTAGCCAGTTGATTCGGCGGGTAATGGCCTACCGAACTATTGTCTATGTGGTTCAAATGTGACGATTTTGATGACCAGGGTAGCTGCTCATTCCCTTGGTTCTGTAAGTTATCTGCTATAAAAAGTGCTCTGTGTGAACCGGCAACCTCACCGTGTAACCTAAAATTGTTCCTAAGGTGCCCCCTATCAAATGATAGTCAAGTGGTTCCGAGATCAATCTTTAATTTGATCTGGTTTAGGTTTTCGTCGATGACTACCATTGGTGTTTTGGCACCAATGTGGTATCCACTCCAAATACTGTCACTGTCAATCACCCTTGCCACTTTAGACCCGGCATATGCTTGTTCGTAGGCCTCTTCTGGATATCTGTAAACTCTGTTTTGACTAATTGGGCGATGCAGGTGAAATCTGACCTCAATAAAAAAAGACACGCTGTTTCAGTGTTCTACCCAGAAACGGTTATGGCCCCCAATTCATTAGAGAAACAGATGACGGTGTTTTGTTTACAGTGGGTGCCTCGGAGGACGTTTGGTGTTCTTACCTGCTAAAACCAGTTTGGTGTTCGCTAAGGGCTTTGAAAAACGCATTTTGGTGGCAATTTACCCCTCGTTCTGAACGGACTAAGTGTTTTTTGTTTAGTTGCAGCAGCGTGTCCCGAAAGACAGTGGGTCCTGTACCCTGTATGTAAGATTTTGATACATTGGGGATGACCTTTGTGTAGGTACATCAGTCTGGGCATTACTCTATAAAACTGTGGGGACCGTTCCGTTTGGCGCTATGATCTGTCTGGTAATGTCTGTCTTTTCCGCGCCATTCTGCCATAGATTAAAATAATTTTAATGCACTACTTGACTCATCTTACGCACTGCAAAACTGACCGCTTGCATTGCATGCAAAATTTCAAATTTTTCTGTGCAATAGTTGCCGACATATGGATACTTTTTTGACAGAACCAAGCTTTGCCCAGCCCAAAGGAACACTACCCAACTGCATATTACATAATGTAGCAGCGCAACAGACAGGAAAGTCAGTTAATTGGCAGCGACACACCTGACTACACACTTCTCCATTCACAAATCTTATATGAGATCGGAGTTTTTTTGAAAAAAAGAACGCATTTTTACCTAGGCATACCTTCGAAACTGAAATATTCCATATTAAATGTCAAGTCTGTATTTTGAGAACATGGATAAAGACATGTTGTTAGTTTGATACGTGTTTCTGTGGTAAATTAGTGTTTCCAGCTGTGTACTGAAAACATAACTTTTCTTAAGCAGGTCTTTTTTTTTGGACTGTTTTTTTTTCGCCCGCTCGCACCGATTTTGGGGTCCCCAGAGGATGTCATCCATAAAAACAAAAAAGTGTGGCCTTAGTGCAAATAATTAAGACATTAGACATTGGTGTGTTCCATCAGTTCAAATAAATCGCTTCTTGATAACATAAGCTTCGTTGATTGAAAACAAACATTTGTGAAGCGACTGCACACGTCAATATTTCAACTCTTTACCATACATGGGTGACACGTATGTACACGCGCACGCACGCATAACGGCACTTGCAAATATACTGCATAATAAGTAAAACGTTCAATTCTACATTTATGCACTTAGAATGAAACATTTATTGACATCAAAGGTAAATTAAAGATAACTACTAAAGGCAAGCCTCTTAACATGTAAACACGTAATACGCAAACGGTAGCGGCGACCATTGGGATTAAAAAAGAGAGATAGAGCAGATTTAAATGTGTAACAATTTTGTTTTGATTGTTCTTCTGTAAAGAAAATATTTTTAAACCAACTGGTGATGAGCCATTAAAACGTTAACACTTTTGCCATTTAACCAACAATAGGTGCCATTGAATCTTTGGGTCGAAGTGCGCAAATGAACGGTCTAGTTTCCCAGCAGGGGGCTCCTTTCCACAGAAACGCTCCACTCTTCCCGCTTAATTCGACGCAATCGGTAAGGGAGCGCGCGGACGGATATCCGACTGCCCAGTTGGTGTAACCACCACCGCCACCACCCAGCTTGGTGCCGCCATTGTTCAAAGAACTGCTGCTACTTGCACTGTCATCACCTGGTACGACAATGACAGTGGCTTTATATTCCCAGTCTTATTAAGGAATGTTATTTTAATATTAAATTACAATAGGATAAGTTAATTGATCTCACTGATGACGGGATTAACGTGCGCATAAGCATAAAGGTTAAAACTGAGGTACAGTAATAATATTTGTCATATAATAATATATTATAATAATTATTATTATTATTGTTATTATTATTATTATAAAACATCCGTATGTTGACTATTTTGACAGGCTTTTAATTTCATCAATTTGTTTATACGTTGGCACTCTTATGTCCCATTTCCATAGACACAATCGTTCTTACGTAGATCGATCCAAATGTCCCTGAGTCCAGCCAGCTTAACAGATTAACACATACTCTCCTGATTTTATGTAGAAGAAAGAAAATCTGGTGATTGAGCGAGTACTTTGGAACAACAGGATGCGTGTCGTTCAGTTAAAGCAATAATAACTCTTCCTTTGAGATTCAAAATTCCGCAAGAAATACATTGTAAACAACGCATGGAAATATATTCTATTGTATTTTACCACTAAAACGGCCGTTGTTGTAGTAAAACTAAAATCTGTGCTTGTCAATAGGGCTTTCGATGCCTTTTTTCCCGGTCGTCAAGGCATCCGTTGCTAATGACGTAAGGGTGTCACGCGGATTCTCGCGTTCATTCGAGACCAAAATAGCATGGCGCGAAACGCGTTGATGCAGACGCAGACGTAAGTTGCGAGTTTTTGTACAGTGCGTCGGATAACGAAAAGCCCAGAATGGCACACATTGTGGATATAAATGCATTTTTAACAAAAAGACGAATATATCACATTAATCTTATATTATTGTTATATAGTGTTGTTGTTGTCTGCTTTTCCCGCGGTTTTAAAAGTCACCAGTGACTATGCAATGTCAGAGAGGGCTCCGTCAGTTAAAATCTCTTAAGAGATTTTAACAAAAAACCGTACGTTCAGGGAAAAAAACTGGATTAACTTTGAATGCAGGAATGGGGTCGTTGACCATTGGTTAGTACGGGAAAATACCCGTTTTTTCCAGTAAAATCAATTTTTGGCCAAACGACGAGTTATAATGACTTTAAGCGGATTGCACTTAGCGAGACTCCCCACAGAGATGGATCGATCTACGTTGACCAATGGTGTCTGTGGGAATGTGGCCTTACATATTCCTCACTGTGTAGATACGACTTACCTATCCAATATTCAGCAGCTGCAGACAAGAACCTAATGATGTTCTGGTATTCGTATCTGTTCTTTACTGTCATCAGGTGAGACAGCGGAGACAGCGAGGAACACGCCTTCATGGACAGAAAATAATTGTATGCCTCTGTCTTTGGGTCGGAGATGTAGAGGCACAAGCTGTCAGTGACCTCAGTGAACCCATCAGGACAGAGTTTGGCTGTAAACGGTTATAATGATCAGATAATGACAACATACCAGAAGGAACACAAAACAAAATACAAAAACAAAACAAATACCCTAGTTTACGTTTTACAGTTGACGTCATGTATATGTCAAATCGTATATAGCCACACTGTGGTCCGCATGTAATTCTGCCAAATAAAGATAGCTTACTTATGTAATTTTCTGTATCAAAATACCAACACTGTACTCGTACCTGGACACGGCTGACCTTTGCAAGTTTCAACCTGAACTATTTGTCCTGGGCAGTCCTTGCCACCATTGGTCGGAGGTGGACTATTACACGCCCTGTGTCTTGTCCTGTTGCCTTGACCACAGGTTTTACTGCATACTGACCAGTGTGTCCAGACACTCCAAACTCCGTCCACTGTAATGGAAGCAAAGTTATATATGGTTTTGTTTTACATGCAGTTCCATTAAAAAAGGAAAGCCATGTAAACCGGGAGCCCCGCGATAAAGGGAAATGAATTAATGTATATTTCCTTCAAATACCTGTAATCATTGTGTGAGGTACTAGTGAACCAAATGTAAAACAGGAAGGTTAAATTATCTTATATAAGGGAAATGGAAGATAAAAAGAAGGCATGCAAATGGCACACTAAAAGAAAGTTTAGTAAAGCACCGTCTACCGTTGTACAAGTATATCTGTATAATACAAACAAATTATGTATTCTCACGTGAATGTCAAAAGCGAACATCATTACAAATATATACATTTTTATTTGATTCTAAATAAAATAGTCTTGCTTTCGATGAGGAGATAGTGAATATGATATTATCATTGTGTTGTAAAGCAAATGACATACACTTTCGACAATTACAAAACAATTAAAACAGAATTAAATGTGTAGGAATTTATTGAGTGCAAAGTAAATGTCTTAAAGTGTCAACGAGTGTAGAGACTGTTCTCGAAGCAAGAAAGGGTGGAACGTTTCAGAGTTAGATATAGTTGGATCTGATTGGTTAATTTTTCTATTGATTTGCACGTTTTTAACACGTGTAAAACTCATCCATACTCGAGCTGGACAAGATCCAAGATGAGTAATTCGGAATATATTTAAAATATTTTAAATCATTAACAAGTCTCATTTAAATTACTAAATCAGGAAATATTGAAAAGAGTTTTGTAATATGAGAATGGGAAATTCTTTGGGAAAATAGTGTATAAATACTTGTAGATTCTGTGAAAAAGTAAGTCGGTGAATAAACGTTTCGAAGCTCCCAAACTGTTGTCGTCATTTCTCACTATAACAATTGATTGATTCTGGCATACAGCATATATATGTATATCAGTTTGTGAGGTACCTGTGTACAAAGTGTAAAACCGGACGGGTAAAATTCTCACATGTAAGGGAAATGGAAGATAAAAATAAGTCATATAAATGTCACACCAAAAGAGAATTGAGTAAAACACCGTTTACCGTTTACCGTTGTACATGTATATCTGCATGGTTTAAACAAATCATGTTTTGTAATGTGGATGTCAACAGCGAACACTATAACAAATTGAAAATTTTCATTTTATTTTAAATAAAACAATTTTGTATTTGATGAAGAGATGGTGATTAGTATATTATCATTGAATGATTCTGGCATACAGCAATGTACTCCCAAGGTCACGGTTTGGGGAGCTGGCGTGTCTGCGTGAGTCGTGTTATCATTCATGTCATTAAGGCGACCTAGTTTTGGTGTATGTTTGAGATCTAAATACCACAATGATTCTGTTAAACAAAATTATACAGATTAGATATAGCAGTCAAGTCACTCACCAGGGCACTGTCCTGGGAAGCATAACTCAGTTTGTCTGTCATCTCCAGGGCAAGGTTTACCGGTGCCAACAGGTGCTGGGTTATCACATACACGTGAGCGGGACCTCAGACCCTGACCGCAGGACAAGGAACACGAACTCCATGATCCCCAGATACCCCAATTCCCATCTGCAAATAGATAAGATTCAATAAGCGGAAACGTTACAGAACATGTGTTTGATATCTCCACCATCCCAAGGTCCCGTTTGTAAGTGTTTTTATCATTTTTAGAGATTTTTACAAATGATGCGCAGTAGCATGTTACAATCAATTTGAGCTCTAAACGTATCGTGTTTAAAATTGGAATTGGAATATTTACTTTGACATGTGGCTATCACCATTTGCTTTGTCACCCACCTTAACTCCCGCCCACAAAAAAAGAAAGAAAGAAAGAAAGAAAGAAAGAAAGAAAAAGGAACAACGGCGTTAACAAAAGAGGGAAAACATTTATTTGATGAGGCCCATACCAGTGTTCTTACAAGTTACGAAAAGTACATCAAAATGCATCGTTATTTCATATTTTCTTCCTTGACGCGAGGGAGGGGGTGCTGCAAAGGTGGGGGTATTTTGATCCCCCCCCCTTATCCTGTCAGACAAGCAGATAAGACCTCCACCATTATAAAATACACGCCCCACAACTAGACTTACCTGGGTCATATTCACATACAAAATTAAACTTGCGGCTACAGGGGTATTCGTGAAAACCTTGGGTTCCCCAAACCTGTAACAGTATACAATCTTCTTCCACAGAGTTTCGTATGTTTGCCGGTTGACCACTAGCCCATAGATTACTGGCAACGCTGACACCCCTCGAATACCATATCCAGTTATTCTTTCCATTGGTGTCCCTACCACCCAACCAAACTTCAGGACCTCCAAAAAGACGATTAGAAACTAATAACTTTTTTATAAATTAATACCATTTAATACTGAAACTCAGACATGGTATCTGTATAATTAGAACAAAACATTGTGATTTCATTGATCAAAACTAATGATTACTTAACAACGTTGATGTCGTCAGCATTTATGATTAAATATTTCGGTGCGTACATAGGTAGCACCAGGACAGCGTAGTATTTAAGGAGTTTCCTCATATTATGTTTTTTTTTCAATCTGTGCAGATTTCGCGCATGAGTAGTTTTTTATGATATTGACTAAATTAAAACAGACAATAAAATATGTGTTTCATCCCTTTATTTCCGCATGTGTAAGAAAATAAACGATATAGAATATCAAATCACATGGCAAATTGTGGGCAATCTACCCAATCTATGGAAAATCCAAGATGACGGCATTTCAAGAGACATTTGAATAAATACAATACTTTCAACATTTATATCTATTTCTTTTGAATTGGATGTGCATCTACATTGAATTTGGCTAACTGATGCAAAGAAGTATACGTGTAATTTTCGAAATAGGTGTACATTTTATAAAATCCTTTATACTTTTTTATCTAAAATTTACGTAAGACTTCCAGTTCATTCCTATATAAAATCATTAAAAAGCATCCTTGCCTGAAAAGCATTCTTCTGTCAGAATTTGGCAAAATTCCCATATAAATCAAAGTAATAAATATGATGTTTCGGAAGGCTAACTCTACATAAAACTAACTTGATAATCCCCAATTTTTTTCAGATTTTTACTCACGCGGTGAGCACACATTGTCTAACAATTTCTATCAAACCCGTTAGGGCAGAAATGGTGTGTCAGACATATGACAGAGCCTCCATATATAAACACAATGGACAAAAGAAGTATCACACCCTGAATCAGAGTAATCAAATAATAATTAAATAATCAATAATCAAAGTAGACAGATCGTGAGCAGTTATAATGCATGGTCTACATTTTTGTGAAATTTGATGTTAATAAAATGATACCAGGAGGATCATACCACTCCCCCAAAGTATTGGTTCAGTAGGGGTGACATTTCTATTGTACATTGTGTGTATACGCACTGCAATAGGGAAGTACACGTATACTGCATTATGTATACAATAAATATTATGTAAGTAATAACGGACGGCCATTGGGCACTTCTTACAATCTGATTACCTAAACAATCTCCCCATTTGAGATCTGTTGCATAGTTAGAAGTTGTAGCACACCATGGTTTGTCATGTGCACGACTGGTGCAAATCGTGTATACTGTACCCTTAAAATTAAAAGGTAAGACACACGGAGCACCATTGCTGTTCCCACCAGTTGTCTTAGCAACAGAACCTAAAAAAACAGGATAAGGTTGAACATGAGGGTTAATCTTCCGAAGACTTGCAAACAACAAAGTTGCTTAACTTTAACGAAAATATGACTTTGCCTCTCCAAATCGAATTATTACTTCATAAAAGTGTATTTCATGTAGCATACTTTGCGTTAGATATGCACACTGTACACGCATACTAGACGCAATATGTGTTAAACCATTGTCTTCTTATCATGTAAAGCACATGTAATATCTTATAGGGTTACAATAGAAATGCACTCATACACACACATACACACACACAAACACACACACACACACACACACACACACACACACACACACACATATATATATATATATATATATATATATATNCGTTATAGGACAATACATTGGGATTATTAGACATGTATCTCAGTACTACCCCAGCCTTTTTTCGCATCCTCTGTGGAATTGAGTCTAATATTTCTTTGTTAAGATAGGGCTTTATAGGAACGTCTTCTGTCTTTACGGGAGGGCTTTCCGTTGGTGCTGACACGTTTTGTATGGAGGGTGCCGGTGAATTCTGTACCACTACAGCAACAGGCTCCTTTTTTCGCGCAATCTTCAAATATTGAACTTGCAGGTCGTTGTACATTTTCATTTTTTCGTCAAAAGGTATGTCGGTCCTTTGCATCGTCTTCGCCATTTCATTTTGCAATCGCAATGTTTCTTCTTGTAAGGGGGAATAATTGCTGTTCACCCGTTGTTTTAAGGCGTTAAGTTCGGTTTCACTTATCAAGACCATTTTCTGAAAGCTTGACATGTCTTGATATCGGATTTAAAATTGCTTTAACCACAGGCGTGTTTCGTAACAAAAGTTGTTTCTTGGACTGTATGGATACTTTTTTATCAGCCAGCC